GTGTAAAATATCTTTAACTTTCAAATATGCCATGAAGAGACATACATTGGTTCATACAGGAGAGAGACTTTACAATTGTAAACAAGTGTAATCTGTGTAAAATATCTTTTACTTTCAAATATGCCATGAAGGGACATACATTGGTTCATACAGGAGAGAGACTTTACAATTGTAAACAAGTGTAATCTGTGTAAAATATCTTTTACTTTCAAATATGTCATGAAGAAACATGCATTGGTTCACAGGAGAGAAACCTCAAAGTGTACCACATGTAAAAAGTTGTTTGCATTCATAAGCTGCATGAAGAAGCCTTTTAAAAAAGTTCATATTGAAGTACTGACCAACCTCGTCAACCTGACTTAAATTTAAAATTGGCAAAAAATTCAAAAACAAAATTATCATCTATTCAAAGTTTTAAATCAATTAAAATATTTCATCAAAATATTCAACACCTGTCATCTAGAAAAGAGTCGTTGGAAATTGTAATGGAGGAGATGAAACCAAAGTTTTGACTGAGCATAATATGACTAAAGGTAATCTAGAAAGATTTAATTTAAGAGTATTGTTGTACCACCACTTCATGTGGAGGTGTGGTGATATTTTCAGAGAAGGGGTTCCAAACTAGGCCTTTAAATAAAAAAAAAGTTTGAAGAGCTTACGGAAGATACAATTTTTTAATGTTGTTTAGCAAAGTGTGAAATAAATAAATTTAAGTTTGTTCTTGTATGTATATACGGAAAGCCTCGGATGCAAAATATGGAGTTTTTTAATAGATTGGATATGCTGTTAGAAACTCTAGTTGCTTTAAAGGATGAGAAAAATTTTATTATTAGTGGGGGATTTTAATACTGACGTTTAAATTGTGAAAACAGAGGTCCAGTTTTTCAAAAATATTCTTGCTTATTATAGTTTTAGTTATTTAGTAGACTTCCCCACTAGATTAGGGCATCAGCAACAGCGATAGACAATGTTCTTACCAATTTAGATCAATCTCTCACAGAAGTAACAGGGTATATAACAAATCTTTCAGATCATGACAGTCAATTACTAACGCTTAATCTGCCAATAGATATGAATAGTTCAATAGGTGAAGATAATAATCAAATTTGCTATTGCATGCACCCCACGTTCTTCATTTTAAATCTTACAAGTATTTTTGTTCTCTCCACATATTTATAAATTATTTTCTACATTTTAGTCTATTTAAAAATGTGGCATTTAAAAAAGTTTTTTTATTTATAAATTACTAGCACAATACCCGTCCTTAGTACGGGATTGGCGTATAAAATGCTTATTGAACTTATACTGTACTCATGCTTTGTGTTTGCAATGGAAGGGGACACGGTTTGAGAAAGTTTGGTTATTTTAATTACGGAAGCTATAGTATAATTACTTAGGCTATACCATAGCCATAATGTTCTACCACTACACTTATACAATAAAATACCCCCGCCGCAGCAAACCTGCAGACTAAGCGAATTTCCATTTGCCTGATTGGATTTACACTTAAATGTCTCCTTAAAAATATCACACTTATTCCCTATTTAAATAGCATTAGTTTAACAAGTACTTATTTTTGCTGCAACAGGGAGGGTAAAACTGAGTTTTTTTGTAAAATGTTAGTTCAGTATTAAATTTACATTTTCCAAATTTAATCAAAATACGTCCATAAACAAGCAAACTACAACAGTTTACTAATTCATCATAAGGATAACATAGGAATTTTAAATTTACTGTTTTTTTAGAATTTTCTCCGTAGTAATTAGGCGCATAATAACGCTCCAATATACAAAATGGTTTGGAAAGAAATTGCTAAATTTTAAATTTTCAGGGTCAAAAATGGGAAAACCTAATATTTACCCCATAAAACCCCCCATAAACCTCAGTTCCAATAGTCCGATCATGCTGGTTTGCGAACTTGTTTGAATAAACGTAGGTTTACACGTTTGTACCAAATTTCAAAAAAACCGGATGATTTTTGTTCGAGTTATCGCGCTAATGGACACATATATAAATATATCTAATATATAAAATTCTCGTGTCACAGTGTTTGTCTGCAAACTCCTCCGGAACGACTTCACCGATCGTTATGAAATGTGGTGTGTAAATTCTGTAGGTATGCGAATCGGACGTAAACTATTTCCCGTTTCGAAATTCTTAAAAGGGCTCCGCCCCAGTGGCTTTGGAGTTTCCCATGTTAACCTTATGAGAAATGGAATTAATGAATCTTAACAGCTGTTTCAATTAAACAAGTTGGTTCTATTCTATGATGTTTAATAGCATTAAAGTTACAAGGATTACCAACAGGGTGCAGCACTATTATTTCTTTTACATTTATGACAACAGCTAATTTGCAACCAAAAGGTGAGTGAGCGTAGCGAACGAACTTCAACCTGGAGGCGAGTTAGCGTAGCGAACGAGCTAACCTGAAGGCAAGTGAGCGAAGCGAACGAGCTCCAACCTAAAGGTGAGTGAGCGTAGCGAACGAGCTCCAACCCAAAGGTGAGTGAGCGTAGAGAACGAACTTCAACCAGGACGTGATTGAGCGATGCGAACGAGATCATCTTGAAAATTAAACGTAACGGTACTTTCTTTCCATCGGTCTGTCTTAGGGGAAACCTATAACTTAGGCGATACGAAGTTCGCCGGGTCAGCTAGTATATATATATAAGTATATATATGAATTTGATCGGATGGTTTTTTTGGACTCTAGGGACCTCAAGATGAGAAAGTAAATTGGTCCCGGGGCCAGGTCTTACCATGAGTACTACGGTAATAGCTTATTCCCTATATGGAAAATTCGCTAAAAAGTATATTATCGAATATTTGCACAGTATCAAAATATTATTTATAAATAGAAAACATAAACTTGACTGTAAACAATTTTACTTTGTCCGTTTTCATTGTGCATCACAGCTTTTGTTGCGGCTTGGTTCAAATTAGTTATGTTGTCATATGAAAATAAAAAAATAGTGCTGCACCCTGTTGGTGAACCTTATAACTTTTAATAATATTAAATATCATAGAACAACTTGTATAATTGAAACAGCTGACAGCATTCTTTAATCCCTTTTAAATATGAATACTCATAAGGTTAACATGGGAAACCCCAGAGCCACTGGGCCGAAGCACGAAAGGATTCTTGAGATAAGAATATGTCTATATGTTAATCAGGAACGTGTGCTATCATCATATCGAATTTCAGCCCGATCCGACCAGTAGTTAAAGCGAGATTGAACATCAAACAAACAAACAAATGAAAAAAAAAAACAAACACACAAACTTTCACGTTTATAATATTAGTAAGATTAATCAGATATGATCTTTTTCAGAAGTGAAGAGATGAGTTCAAAACAGAAAAGAGAATCTAATTTTAATCTTAATTACAAAAAAAAAACTAATTGAGATAATACCTGGTGTTATACTTTGAAGAGCAGCTCTAAATGTTATTTTGTTTCCCTCACACAAATTAAATTTATTAATTCATTTTGTTAAACGAGAATTTAAATTATAACAAACATTTTTGTTGTAGGTTGAGACAGTTAAAAGAATTAAAACAGCAGATTATATTGATTTAAGAATTAATATAAAACAATAGAAGATTGAAGAAAGACAAGAGAAATGGAAAAATCCCCCAAGTGTATTGAAAAATAGCTAATATTATTCATACGAAGATTTGACTATGAGATGATAAAATGTTAAATGAGAGATGTATCCTATCAAATATCCGTTGTACATTTAAGTCCTACAAACTGGTACTATTTAAATGCATACAATTTCCTATGGTTTGTTGTGATATCTGATAAGCGACTGCTTATGTGATGGAATTCACAGTGGTAAAAAGTGCTGGAGTAAAAATGTTAACTCACTCTAAAAATTTTCCTCTGAAATGTCCAATATGTGAGCAAAGTTGTCCATCTCAATCTGCAATGAAGGTCCATATATTATATCACACCGGAGAGCGTCCCTTTAAATGTTTGACATGTGAGAAAACATTTTTCCAACTAAACCAAGTAAAGAGTCATTTGTTGATACACTTTGGGAAGTCTCCTATATTAGGGGAATCCATTAAACTCCAAAGCCATATGAAGGAGCATACGCAAATTCATACAAGACCCTATAAGTGCACTACATGTGGAAAATCCTTTACAACAATTGGTAGTATGAAAAGACATACATTGGTCCATACAGGTGAGAGACCTTATAAGTGCACTACATGTGAAAAATCATTTACTTTCAAAAGTGTTTTGAAGAAACACACATTTGTTCATACAGGGGAGAGACCTTATAAGTGCACTATGTGTGGAAAATCCTTTGCACAAATAGGCAATATGAAGACACATATACTTGTCCATACAGGTGAGAGACATTATAAGTGCACTATGTGTGAAATATCATTTACTTCCATAAGTGATCTGAAGAAACATACATTTGTTCATACACGAGAGAGACCTTTTAAGTGTGCTACATGTGGAAAATCCTTTACAACCAAAGGCAATATGAAGACACATACATTGGTTCATACAGGAGAGAGACTTTACAAGTGCACTACATGTGAAAAATCATTTACTTCAAAGAAGTATCTGAAGTCACATACATTTGTTCATACAGGAGAGAGATCATATAAGTGCTCTACATGTGGAAAATCCTTTGCAAGAGTAGACAATATGAAGACACACACATTGGTTCATACAAAGGAGAGACCTTATAAGTGTACTACATGTGGAAAATCCTTTGCAAGAATAGGCAGTATGAAGAAACATACAATGGTTCATACTGGAGAGAGACTTTACAAATGTAAATAAGTGTAATATGTGTGAAAAATCTTTTAGCCTACTTTCAAATATGTCATGAAGAAACATTCATTGGTTCACAGGAGAGAAACCTCAAAGTGTACCACATGTAAAAAGTTGTTTGCATTCATAAGCTGTATGAAGAAGCTTTTTAAAAAGGTTTATATTGAACTACTGACTTACCTCGTCAACCTGAATTAAATTTAAAATTGGCAAAAAATTCAAAAACAAAATTATCTTCTATTCAAAGTTTTTAATCAAATAAAATATTTCATCAAAATAATCAACACCCGTCATCTAGAAAAGGGTCTTTGGAAATTGTAATGGAGGAGATGAAACCAAATATTGCTGTTTTGACTGAGCCATAATTATGACTAAAGGTAATCTAGAAAGATTTAATTTAAGAGTATTGCCGCACCACCACTTCAGGTGGAGGTGTGTGGTGATATTTTCAGAGAAGGGTTTGAAAGCTAGGTCTTTAAATTTAAAAAAAAGTTAGAAGAGCTTACGGAAGATACAATTTTTGAATGTTGTGTAGCAAAGTGTGAAATAAATAAATTTAAGTTTGTTCTTGTAGGTATATACAGAAAGCCTCGGATGCAAAATATGGAGTTTCAGATATCATATGCTGTTAGAAACTCTAGTTGCTTTCAAGGATGAGACAAATTTTATTATTTGTGGGGGATTTTAATACTGACGTTTAAAGTGTAAAAACAGAGGTCCAGTTTATCAAAAATATTCTTGCTTATTATAGTTTTGGTTATTTAGTAGACTTCCCCACTAGAGTAGGGAATCAGCAACAGCGATAGACAATGTTCTTACCAATTTAGATCAATCTCTCACAGAAGTAACAGGGTCTATAACAAATCTTTCAGATCATGACAGTCAATTACTAACGCTTAATCTGCCAATAGATATGAATAGATCAATAGGTGAAGATAATAATCAAATTTGCTATTGCATGCACCCCACGTTCCTCGTTTTAAATCTTACAAGTATTTTTGTTCTCTCCACATATTTATAAATTATTTTCTATATTTTAGTCCATTTAACAATGTGGCATTTAAAAAAGTTTTTTTATTTATAAACTAGCTTTAACTCGTGGGCTTTGCCCCGTTTAACTTCTTAATTTTCAAGATGATCTCGTTCGCATGGCTCAATCACGTCCTGACGTCCTGGTTGAAGTTCGTTCGCTATGCTCACTCACCTTTTGGTTGCATATTAGCTGTTGTCATTAATGTAAAAGAAATAATAGTGCTGCACCCTGTTGGTAATCCTTGTAACTTTAATGCTATTGAACATCATAGAACAGAACCAACTTGTTTAATTGAAACAGCTGTTAAGATTCATTAATTCCATTTAAATATGAGTACTCGTAAGGTTAACATGGGAAACTCCAGAGCCACTGGGGCGGAGCCCAGAGGTCAGAGGGTAAAATCCTTTCTTAGTGAGCGTCTACTACCCAAAAGGAACATGCCTGCCTAGTTTCAGGTTCCTAGGTCTTATGGTTTCTGTGATTTCGTGATGAGTGACAGTGGTATTTGATATTTATATTTATAGATTACTAGCAGAATACCCGTCCTTTGTACGGGATTGGCGTATAAAATGCTTATTGTACTTATACTGTACTCATGCTTTGTGTTTGCAATGGAAGAAGACACGGTTTGAGAAAGTTTGGTTATTTTAATTTACGGAAGCTATAGTATAATACTTATACCATAGCCATAATGTTCTACCACTACACTTAAACAATAAATACCCCCGCCGCAGCAAACCTGCTGACTAAGCGAATTTCCATTTGTCTTAATTGTTTTTCAATTAAATATATTTTAATAACATTAGGTTTAACGAGTACCTAGGTTTGCTGCTACAAAGAAAACTAATAAAGTGTGTTTTTTAGTAAAATATTCATAGCTTAGTACAAAATAAATAAATTTGCCAAGTTTGATCAAATTATATCCACAAACAAGCAAACTACAACATTTGACAATATTCTCCATATGAATAACATGGAAATTTTAAATTTACAATTTTTTTAATTTTCTCCGTTACTAATAACCGAACAAAAATACTTTTATATACTTAATTATTTGTTTTTTTAAGCTCTTTAAAAAGGTTTAAAGAGAAATTGGGAAATTTTGTGTTTTGAGGGTCAAAAGTGAGAAAAACCAATTTTTACCCCATAAAACCCCCCGTTAAACCCCGTTCCCATGGTCCGATCATGCTGGTTCGCGAACTCATTCAAGTTTATCCCGCCTTACACCTTTAAACCAAATTTCATCAAAATCGGACAAAAATTACTCAAGTTGCGTTCACGGACGTATATATATATATATATATATATATACGTATATAAAAATTTGAACGAATAGTGTTTTTGGCCTCTGGGGACATCAAAATGAAAAAGTAAATCGGTCTCGGGCCTAGGTCTTACCGTGCCACCTACGGTAATAGCTACTTCCCTATAGGGAAATTCGCTAAAAAGTAAATTATTGAATATTCACACAGTATCAAAACATTATTTATAAATTAAAAACATAAACTTGACTGTAAACAATCCTACTTTGTCCGTTTTCATTAGGAATCACAGCTTTTGTTGCGGCTTAGTTCAAATTAGTTATGTTGTCATATGAAAATAAAATAATAGTGCTGCATCTTGTTGGTGAACCTTATAACTTTTAATAATATTAAATATCATCTAGAACAACTTGTGTAATTGAAACAGCTGACAAAATTCTGTAATCCCTTTTAAATATGAATACTCATAAGGTTAACATGGGAAACCCCAGAGCCACTGGGCCAGAGCACGAAAGGATTCTTGAGATAAGAATATGTTTATATGTTAATGAGGAACGTGTGCTATCATCATTACAAATTTCAGCCAGATCCCACCAGTAGTTAAAGCGTGATTGAACATAAAACAAACAAACAAATGAAAAAACAAACAAACACACAAACTTTCACATTTATAATATTAGTAAGATTAATCAGATATGATCTTTTTCAGAAGTGAAGAGATGAGTTCAGAACAGAAAAGAGAATCTAATTTTAATCTTAAAAAAAAAAAAAAACTGATTGAGATAATACCTGGTGTTATAATTTGAAGAGCAGCTCTAAATGTTATTTTGTTTCACTTACACAAATTAAATTGATCAATTCATTTTGTTAAACGAGAATTTAAATTATAACAAACATTTTTGTTGTAGGTTGAGACAGTTAAAAGAATTAAACTGCAGACTATATTGATTTAAGAATTGATATAAAACAATAGAAGATTGAAGAAAGACAAGAGAAATGGGAAAATCCCCCAAGTGTATTAAAAAATACCTAATAGTATTCATATCAAGATTTGACTACGAGATGATTAAATGTTAAATGAGGGATGTAGCCAGTTATCATGTATCTGTTGTACATTTAATAAGTCCTACAAACTGGTACTATATAAATTCATACAATTCCCTATGGTTTATTGTAAATTCTGATAAGGGACTGCTTATGTGATATTCACAGTGATAAAAAGTGTTAGAGTGAAAATGTTAACTGACTCTAAAAACTTTCCTCTCAAATGTCCAATATGTGAGCAAAGTTGTCCATCTCAATCTGCAATGAAGGTCCATATATTATATCACACCGGAGAACGCCCCTTTAAATGTTTGATATGTGAGAAAACGTTTTTCCAACTAAACCAAGTAAAGAGTCATTTGTTGATACACTTTGGGAAGTCTCCTATATGTGGGGAATCCATTCAACTCCAAAGCCATATGAAGGAGCATACACAAATTCATACGAGACGCTATAAGTGCACTACATGTGGAAAATCCTTTGCAAGAAAAGACAATATGAAGACACATACATTGGTCCATACAGGTGAGAGACCTTATAAGTGCACTATATGTGAAAAATCCTTTGCAAGAATGAGCAATATGAAGACACACACAATGGTCCATACAGGGAAGAGACCTTATAAGTGCACTGCATGTGAAAAATCATTTACTTCTGGAAGTGATCTGAAGAAACATACATTGGTTCATACAGGAGAGAGACCTTATAAGTGTGCTACATGTGGAAAATTCTTTACAACAAAAGGCAATATGAAGTCACATACAATTGCTCATAGAGGAGAGAGACTTTACAAGTGCACTATATGTGAAAAATCATTTACTTCCAAAAGTGATCTGAAGAGACATACATTGGTTCATACAGGAGAGAGACCTTATAAGTGTGCTACATGTGGAAAATTCTTTGCAACAAAAGGCAATATGAAGTCACATACAATTGTTCATAGAGGAGAGAGACCTTATAAGTGCTCTACATGTGGAAAATCCTTTGCACAAATGGGCAATATGAAGACACATACATTGGTTCATACAGGGGAGAAACCTTATAAGTGCTCTACATGTGGAAAATCATATGCACAAATGAGCAATATGAAGAAACATTTATTGGTTCACAGGAGAGAAACCTCAAGAGTGTACCACATGTAAAAAGTTGTTTGCATTCATAAGCTGTATGAAGAAGCCTTTTAAAAAGGTTCATATTGAAGAACTGACCCACCTCGTCAACCTGACTTAAATTTAAAATTTGCAAAAAAATCAAAAACAAAATCATCTATTTAAAGTTTTAAATCAATTAAAATATTTCATCAAAATATTCAACACCTGTCATCTAGAAAAGAGTCTTTTGAAATTGTAATGGAGGAGATAAAACCAAAGTTTTAACTGAGCATAATATAACTAAAGGTAATCTAGAAAGATTTAATTTAAGAGTATTGTTGTACCACCACTTCAGGTAGAGGTGTGGTGATATTGTCAGAGATGGGGTTGAAAGCTAGGCCTTTAAATAAAAAAAAAGTTAGAAGAGCTTACGGAAGATACAATTTTTGAATGTTGTGTAGCAAAGTGTGAAATAAATAAATTTAAGTTTGTTCTTGTAGGTATATACAGAAAGCCTCGGATGCAAAATATGGAGTTTCTTAATAGATTGGATATGCTGTTAGAAACTGTAGTTGCTTTAAAGGATGAGACAAATTTTATTATTTGTGGGGGATTTTAAAACTGACGTTTAAAGTGTGAAAACAGAGGTCCAGTTTTTCAAAAATATTCTTGCTTATTATAGTTTTAGTTATTTAGTAGACTTCCCCACTAGAGTAGGGCAACAGCAACAGCGATAGACAATGTTCTTACCAATTTAGATCAATCTCTCACAGAAGTAACAGGGTCTATAACAAATCTTTCAGATCATGACAGTCAATTACTAACGCTTAATCTGCCAATAGATATGAATAGTTCAATAGGTGAAGATAATAATCAAATTTGCTATTGCATGCACCCCACGTTCTTCGTTTTAAATCTTAAAAGTATTTTTGTTCTCTCCACATATTTATAAATTATTTTCTACATTTTAGTCTATTTAAAAATAGGCATTTAAAAAAGTTTTTTTATTTATAAATTACTTGCACAATACCCGTCCTTAGTACGGGATTGGCGTATAAAATGCTTATTGAACTTATACTGTACTCATGCTTTGTGTTTGCAATGGAAGAGGACACGGTTTTAGAAAGTTTGGTTATTTTAATTACGGAAGCTATAGTATAATTACTTAGGCTATACCATAGCCATAATGTTCTACCACTACACTTAAACAATAAAATACCCCCGCCGCAGCAAACCTGCAGACTAAGCGAATTTCCATTTGCCTGATTGGATTTACACTTAAATGTCTCCTTAAAAATATCACACTTATTCCCTATTTAAATAGCATTAGTTTAACAAGTACTTATTTTTGCTGCAACAGGGAGGGTAAAACTGAGTTTTTTTGTAAAATGTTAATAGTTCAGTATTAAATTAATACATTTTCCAAATTTAATCAAAATACGTCCATAAACAAGCAAACTACAACAGTTTACTTATTCATCATAAGGATAACATAGGAATTTTAAATTTACTGTTTTTTTAGAATTTTCTCCGTAGTAATTAGGCGCATAATAACGCTCCAATATACAAAATGGTTTGGAAAGAAATTGCTAAATTTTAAATTTTCAGGGTCAAAAATGGGAAAACCTAATATTTACCCCATAAAACCCCCCATAAACCTCAGTTCCAATAGTCCGATCATGCTGGTTTGCGAGCTTGTTTGAATAAACGTAGGTTTACACGTTTGTACCAAATTTAAAAAAAACCGGATGATTTTTGTTCGAGTTATCGCGCTAATGGTCACATATATAAATATATCTAATATATAAAATTCTCGTGTCACAGTGTTTGTCTGCAAACTCCTCCGGAACGACTTCACCGATCGTTATGAAATTTGGTGTGTAAATTCTGTAGGTATGCGAATCAGACGTAAACTATTTCCCGTTTCGAAATTCTTAAAAGGGCTCCGCCCCAGTGGCTCTGGAGTTTCCCATGTTAACCTTTTGAGAAATGGAATTAATGAATCTTAACAGCTGTTTCAATTAAACAAGTTGGTTCTGTTCTATGATGTTCAATAGCATTAAAGTTACAAGGATTACCAACAGGGTGCAGCACTATTATTTCTTTTACATTTATGACAACAGCTAATTTGCAACCAAAAGGTGAGTGAGCGTAGCGAACGAACTTCAACCTGGAGGCGAGTTAGCGTAGCGAACGAGCTAACCTGAAGGCAAGTGAGCGAAGCGAACGAGCTCCAACCTAAAGGTGAATGAGCGTAGCGAACGAACTCCAACCCAAAGGTGAGTGAGCGTAGCGAACAAACTTCAACCAGGACGTGATTGAGCGATGCGAACGAGATCATCTTGAAAATTAAACGTAACGGTACTTTCTTTCCATCGGTCTGTCTTAGGGGAAACCTATAACTTAGGCGATACGAAGTTCGCCGGGTCAGCTAGTATATATATATAAGTATATATATGAATTTGATCGGATGGTGTTTTTGGACTCTAGGGACCTCAAGATGAGAAAGTAAATTGGTCCCGGGGCCAGGTCTTACCATGAGTACTACGGTAATAGCTTATTCCCTATATGGAAAATTCGCTAAAAAGTATATTATCGAATATTTGCACAGTATCAAAATATTATTTATAAATAGAAAACATAAACTTGACTGTAAACAATTTTACTTTGTCCGTTTTCATTGTGCATCACAGCTTTTGTTGCGGCTTGGTTCAAATTACTTATGTTGTCATATGAAAATAAAAAAATAGTGCTGCACCCTGTTGGTGAACCTTATAACTTTTAATAATATTAAATATCATAGAACAACTTGTATAATTGAAACAGCTGACAGCATTCTTTAATCCCTTTTAAATATGAATACTCATAAGGTTAACATGGGAAACCCCAGAGCCACTGGGCCGAAGCACGAAAGGATTCTTGAGATAAGAATATGTCTATATGTTAATCAGGAACGTGTGCTATCATCATATCGAATTTCAGCCCGATCCGACCAGTAGTTAAAGCGAGATTGAACATCAAACAAACAAACAAATGAAAAAAACAAACAAACACACAAACTTTCACGTTTATAATATTAGTAAGATTAATCAGATATGATCTTTTTCAGAAGTGAAGAGATGAGTTCAGAACAGAAAAGAGAATCTAATTTTAATCTTAATTACAAAAAAAAACTAATTGATATGATACCTGGTGTTATACTTTGAAGAGCAGCTCTAAATGTTATTTTGTTTCCCTCACACAAATTAAATTTATTAATTCATTTTGTTAAACGAGAATTTAAATTATAACAAACATTTTTGTTGTAGGTTGAGACAGTTAAAAGAATTAAAACAGCAGATTATATTGATTTAAGAATTAATATAAAACAATAGAAGATTGAAGAAAGACAAGAGAAATGGGAAAATCCCCCAAGTGTATTGAAAAATAGCTAATATTATTCATATCAAGATTTGACTATGAGATGATTAAATGTTAAATGAGAGATGTATCCTATCAAATATCTGTTGTACATTTAAGTCCTACAAACTGGTACTATTTAAATGCATACAATTTCCTATGGTTTGTTGTGATATCTGATAAGCGACTGCTTATGTGATGGAATTCACAGTGGTAAAAAGTGCTGGAGTAAAAATGTTAACTCACTCTAAAAATTTTCTTCTGAAATGTCCAATATGTGAGCAAAGTTGTCCATCTCAATCTGCAATGAAGGTCCATATATTATATCACACCGGAGAGCGTCCCTTTAAATGTTTGACATGTGAGAAAACATTTTTCCAACTAAACCAAGTAAAGAGTCATTTGTTGATACACTTTGGGAAGTCTCCTATATTAGGGGAATCCATTAAACTCCAAAGCCATATGAAGGAGCATACGCAAATTCATACAAGACCCTATAAGTGCACTACATGTGGAAAATCCTTTACAACAATTGGTAGTATGAAAAGACATACATTGGTCCATACAGGTGAGAGACCTTATAAGTGCACTACATGTGAAAAATCATTTACTTTCAAAAGTGTTTTGAAGAAACACACATTTGTTCATACAGGGGAGAGACCTTATAAGTGCACTATGTGTGGAAAATCCTTTGCACAAATAGGCAATATGAAGACACATATACTTGTCCATACAGGTGAGAGACATTATAAGTGCACTATGTGTGAAATATCATTTACTTCCATAAGTGATCTGAAGAAACATACATTTGTTCATACACGAGAGAGACCTTTTAAGTGTGCTACATGTGGAAAATCCTTTACAACCAAAGGCAATATGAAGACACATACATTGGTTCATACAGGAGAGAGACTTTACAAGTGCACTACATGTGAAAAATCATTTACTTCAAAGAAGTATCTGAAGTCACATACATTTGTTCATACAGGAGAGAGATCATATAAGTGCTCTACATGTGGAAAATCCTTTGCAAGAGTAGACAATATGAAGACACACACATTGGTTCATACAAAGGAGAGACCTTATAAGTGTACTACATGTGGAAAATCCTTTGCAAGAATAGGCAGTATGAAGAAACATACATTGGAGACTTTACAAATGTAAATAAGTGTAATATGTGTGAAAAATCTTTTAGCCTACTTTCAAATATGTCATGAAGAAACATTCATTGGTACACAGGAGAGAAACCTCAAAGTGTACCACATGTGTTTGCATTCATAAGCTGTATGAAGAAGCTTTTTAAAAAGGTTTATATTGAACTACTGACTTAACTCGTCAACCTGACTTAAATTTAAAATTGACAAAAAATTCAAAAACAAAATTATCATCTTTTTAAAGTTTTAAATCAATTAAAATACATCATCAAAATATACATCACCTGTCATCTAGAAAAGAGTCTTTGGAAATTGTAATGCAGGAGATAAAACCAAATATTGTTGTTTTGACTGAGCATAATATGACTAAAGGTAATCTAGAAAGATTTAATTTAAGAGTATTGTTGTACCGCCACTTCAGGTAAGGTGTGGTGTTATTTTCAGAGAAGGGTTTGAAAGCTAGGCCTTTAAATTAAAAAAAGTTGGAAAAGCTTACGGAAGATAAAATTTTTGTATGTTGTGTAGCAATGTGTAAATTAATAAATTTAAGTTTGTTCTTGTACGTATATACGTACAAAAACAATATGTATATATATGAATCCAAATTCATGTATCCATATATTATATTAAAGAAATAGAAATGAATGAAATAGAAATAGAATTAGAAATGTTGTTATGCTCACGGTTTGCTGGTTCCGTATATACGGAAAGCCTCGGATGCAAAATATTATTAGATAGGATAGGCTGTTAGAAACTCTAGTTGCTTTAAAGGAGCTCAATTTATATTTTTAGTGGGGGATTTTAATATTGACTTTTAAAGTGTAAAAACAGAGGTCCAGTTTTTCAAAAATATTCTTGCTTATTATAGTTTTAGTTATTTAGTAGACATCCCCACTGGATCAGGGCATCAGCAACAGCGATAGACAATGTTCTTACCAATTTAGATCAACCTCACACAGAAGTAACAGGGTTTATAAGAAATCTTTCAGATCATGACGGTCAATTACTAACGCTTAATCTGCCAATAGATATGACTAGTTCAATAGGTGAAGATAATAATCAAATTTACTATTGCATCCACCCCACGTTTTTTGTTTTAAATCTTACAAGTATTTTTGTTCTCTCCACATATTTATAAATTATTTTCTACATTTTAGTCTATTTAAAAATGTGGCATTTATAAAAGTTTTTTTATTTATAAATTACTAGCACAATACCCGTCCTTAGTACGGAATTGCCACTGCTTGTAATGCTTATTGTACTTATACTGTACTCATGCTTTGTGTTTGCAATGGAATAGGACACGTTTTGAGAAAGTTTGGTTATTTTAATTTACGGAAGCTATAGTATAATACTTAGGCTATACCATAGCCATAATGTTCTACCACTACACTTAAACAATAAAATACCCCCGCCGCAGCAAACCTGCAGACTAAGCGAATTTCCATTTGCCTCATTGGATTTACACTTAAATGTCTCCTTAAAAATATCACATTTAGTCCATATTTAAATAGCATTAGTTTAACAAGTTCTTAGGTTTGCTGTAACAGGGAGGGTAAAACTGAGTTTTTTTGTAAAATGTTTTATAGTTTAGTATTAAATGAATGCATTTTCCAAATTCGATCAAAATACGTCCATAAACAAGCAAGCTACAATAGTTTACTTATTCTCCATAAGAATAACATAAGAATTTTAAATTTACAGTTTTTTAGAATTTTCTCCGTAGTAATTAGGCGCATAATAACGCTCCAATATACTAAATTATTTGTTTTTTTAAGCTCTACAAAATGGTTTGGAAAGAAAATCCTAAATTTTAAATTTTCAGGGTCAAAAATGGGAAAACCCAATTTTTACCCCATAAAGCCCCCCATAAACCCCTGTTCCCATAGTCCGATCATGCTGGTTCGCGAACTTGTTTGAATAAACGTAGGTTTACACATTTGTACGAAATTGAATCAAAATAGGATGATTGCTCGAGTTATCGCGCTAACGGACACATATACATACATATAAATATATATATAAATATATATTTATATAAATACTAGCTGACCCGGCGAACTTCGTATCGCCTAAGTTATAAGTTTCCCCTAAGACAGACCGATGGAAAGAAAGTACCGTTACGTTTAATTTTCAAGATGATCTCGTTCGCATCGCTCAATCACGTCCTGGTTGAAGTTCGTTCGCTACGCTCACTCACCTTTGGGTTGGAGCTCGTTCGCTACGCTCACTCACCTTTAGGTTGGAGCTCGTTCGCTGCGCTCACTTGCCTTCAGGTTAGCTCGTTCGCTACGCTCACTCGCCTCTCTCGGTGAAGATAATAATCAAATTTGCTATTGCATGCAACCCGGGTTCCTTGTTTTAAATCTTACAAGTATTTTTGTTCTCTCCACATATTTATAAATTATTTTCTACATTTTAGTCCATTTAAAAATGTGGCATTTAAAAAAGTTTTTTTATTTATAAACTAGGTTTAAACCGCGGGCTTTGCCCCGTTTAACTTCTTAATTTTCAAGATGATCTCGTTCGCATTTCTCAATCACGTCCTGACGTCCTGGTTGATGTTCGTTCGCTAGGCTCACTCAGCTTTTGGTTGCAAATTAGCTGTTGTCATTAATGTCAAAGAAATAATAGTGCTGCACCCTGTTGGTATTCCTTGTAACTTTAATGCTATTGAACATCATAGAACAGAACCAACTCGTTTAATTGAAACGGCTGTTAAGATTAATTAATTCCATTTAAATATGAGTACTCATAAGGTTAACATAGGAAACTCCAGAGCCACTGGGGTGGGGCCCAGAGGTCGGAGGGTAAAATCCTTTCTAAAGCTGGGTTTTCCTAGACGCGGAGTCGGCCAGCGGAGAGCGGACAACGGAGAGCGGAATTGAAATTAACATGGCATTCCGCTCCGCTGCTAGGAAAACAGTAACATTAAATTACCTAAGACAAGCTGAGTCCGCTCTCCGTTGTCCGCTCTCCGCTGGCCGACTCCGCGTCTAGGAAAACCCAGCTTTAGTGAGCGTCTACTACCCTAAAGGAAGATGCCTGCCTAGTTTCAGGTTCCTAGGTCTTATGGTTTCTGAGATTTCGTGATGAGTGAGTCAGTGGTATTTGAGCTTTATATTTATAGATTACTAGCAGATTACCCGTCCTTCGTACAGGATTGGCGTATAAAATGCTTATTGTACTTATACTGTACTCATGCTTTGTGTTTGCAATGGAAAAAGACACGGTTTGAGAAAGTTTGGTTATTTTAATTTACTGAAGCTATAGTATAATACTTATACCATAGCCATAATGTTCCACCACTACACTTAAACAATAAAAAAGTAAATTATCGAATATTCGCACAGTATCAAAACATTATTTATAAATTAAAAACATAAACTTGACTGTAAACAATCCTACTTTGTCCGTTTTCATTGCGCATCACAGCTTTTGTTGCGGCTTGGTTCAAATTAGCAATGTTGTCATATGAAAATTAAATAATAGTGCTGCACCCTGTTGATGAACCTTATAACTTTTAATAATATTGAATATCATAGAACAACTTGTGTAGTTGAAACAGCTGACAAAATTCTTTAATCCCTTTTAAATATGAATACTCAAAAGGTTAACATGGGAAACCCCAGAGCCACTGGGCCGCAGCCCGAAAGGATTCATTAGGTAAGAATATGTCCATATGTTAATCAGGAACGTGTGCTATCATACCAAATTTCAGCCCATCTGACCAGTAGTTTTTCTGCGTAATTTTTAATTTTTAATATTTTAATTTCTGCGTGATTGAACATCAAACAGACAAACAAATGCAAAAACAAACAAACACACAAACCTTCACATTTATAATACTAGTAAGATTAATCAGATATGATCTTTTTCAAAAGTGAAGAGATGAGTTCAGACATCAGAAAAGAGAATGTAATTTTAATCTTAATAAAAAAAAAAAAATAATAACTAATTGAGATAATCCCTGGTGTAATACTTTAAAGAATAGCTCTAAATGTTATTTTGTTTCCCTTACACGAATTAAATGTATCAATTACATTTTGTTAAACTAAAATTTAAATTATAACAAAAACTTTTGTTTTAGGTTGAGACAGTTAAAAGAATTAAAACAGCAGATTATATTGATATAAGAACTAATATAAAACAGTAGAAGAATAAAGAAAGACAATAGAAAAAGGAAAATCCCCCAAGTGTATTGGAAAATACCTAATATTATTCATATCAAGATTTGACTGTGAGATGATTAAATGTTAAATGAGGGATGTAGCCTGTCCTATCATGTATCTGTTGTACATTTAATAAGTCCTACAAACTGGTACTATTTAAATGCATACAATTCCCTATGGTTTTTTGAGATTTATAATAAGGGACTGCTTATGTGATGGAATTCACAGTGATAAAAAGTGCTAGAGTAAAAATGTTAACTCACGTTAAAAATTTTCCTCTCAAATGTCCAATATGTGAGCAAATTTGTCAATCTCAATCTGCAATGAAGGTCCATATATTATATCACACCGGAGAGCGCCCCTTTATATGTTTGACATGTGAGAAAACATTTTTCCAACTAAACCAAGTAAAGAGTCATTTGTTGATACACTTTGGGAAGTCTCCTATATGTGGGGAATCCATTCAACTCCAAAGCCATATGAAGGTGCATACACAAATTCATACGAGACGCTATAAGTGCACTACATGTGGAAAATCCTTTGCAAGAAAAGACAATATGAAGACACATACATTGGTCCATACAGGTGAGAGACCTTATAAGTGCACTATATGTGAAAAATCCTTTGCAAGAATAGGCAATATGAAGACACACACAATGGTCCATACAGGGGAGAGACCTTATAAGTGCTCTACATGTGGAAAATCCTTTGCACAAATGTGCACTATGAAGAGACATACATTGGTCCATACAGGAGAGAGACCTTATAAGTGCTCTACATGTGGAAAATCCTTTACAACAATAGACAATATGAAGAGACATACATTGGTCCATACAGGAGAGAGACCCTACAAGTGCACTACATGTGAAAAATCATTTACTTCAAAAAGTGAATTAAAAAAACATACATTTGTGCATACAGATGAGAGGCCTTATAAGTGCTCTATATGTGAAAAATCCTTTACTGCCACAAGTGATCTTAAGAAACATACATTTGTGCATACAGATGAGAGACCTTATAAGTGCTCTATATGTGAAAAATCCTTTACTGCCACAAGTGATCTTAAGAAACATACATTTGTTCATACAGGTGAGAGACCTTATAAGTGCTCTACATGTGGAAAATCCTTTGCACGAATAGACAATATGAAGAAACATTCATTGGTTCACAGGAGAGAAACCTCAAGAGTGTACCACAATATGTAAAAAGTTGTTTGCATTCATAAGCTGCATGAAGAAGCCTTTTAAAAAGGTTCATATTGAAGTACTGACCAACCTCGTCAACCTGACTTGAATTTAAAATTGGCAAAAAATTCAAAAACAAAATTATCATCTATTCAAAGTTTTAAATCAATTAAAATATTTCATCAAAATATTCAACACCTGTCATCTAGAAAAGAGTCGTTGGAAATTGTAATGGAGGAGATGAAACCAAAGTTTTGACTGAGCATAATATGACTAAAGGTAATCTAGAAAGATTTAATATAAGAGTATTGTCGTACCACCACTTCAGGTGGAGGTGTGGTGATACTTTCCGAGAAGGGTTTGAAAGCTTGGCCTTTAAATTAAAAAAAAGTTGGAAAAGCTTACGGAAGATACAATTTTTGAATTTTGTGTAGCAAAGTGTGAAATAAATAAATTTAAGTTTGTTCTTGTAGGTATATACAGAAAGCCTCGGATGCAAAATATTATTAGATAGGACAGGCCGTTAGAAACTCTAGTTGCTTTAAAGGATGAGACAAATTTTATTTTTAGTGGGGGATTTTAATATTGACTTTTAAACTCTAAAAACAGAGGTCCAGGATTTAAAAAAATATTCTTGCTTATTATACAGTAGAACGTCGATTATCCGAAGCCCGGTCATCCGAAACGTCGGTTAACCAAAAGGAAGAAAGAAGCAAAAATCAATAAAATCGCGCGCCAATCACGACTACCGAGCGCTACGCCACCGCACGGCTGCTAGGCCGGAGGCGGGGCGGGCCTGCGTGACGAAATTGTCGTGCGCTATGGCTGTGCGCGCCACTCCTACTCTCACTGACTCAGTCTCCGTCTCAAGTCTCACTAGTCTCAGTCGCATGTGAGCATTCGACAGTGACAGTTCGTACGGGTTTCTATTGTACTGTTTCATTCTACACTAACTATGTCGTCCAAACGTAAACGCGTAGTGCAGAAAAATTTCTTTCTGTACACATTCTGATAGTCCAGTTCTAAGTACTGTTGTACATGTTTGTTGCTGTAGTGTAAAAATAAATCTGGATGTTAATTAATTACATTTATATTATTGTACAGTATCCACAGACGCGAAATCGGCAAATCGCCGCCGGCCGCTATCCCTTCCCGTCATTTCCCGTTCCCTGTATTTTTCCCGTCAATGACCGATTATCCGAAAAATCAGTTATCCGAACACCCCCAATCCCCAATTAATTCGGATAATCGACGTTCTACTGTAGTTTTAGTTATTTAGTAGACATCCCCACTGGATCAGGGCATCAGCAACAGCAATAGACAATGTTCTTACCAATATAGATCAACCTCACACAGAAGTAACAGGGTTTATAACAAATCTTTCAGATCATGACAGTCAATTACTAACGCTTAATCTGCCAATAGATATGACTAGTTCAATAGGTAATAATCAAATTAACTATTGTATCCACCCCATGTTTTTTGTTTTAAATCTTACAAGTATATATTCTCTCCACATATTTATAAATTATTTTCTACATTTTAGTCCATTTAAATATGGGGCATTTAAAAAGATTTTTTATTTTAAATTACTAGCAGAATACCCGTATTTCGTACAGGATTGGCATATTTAAGTCTATTTTAGTTATTAAGCCCTATTGTTTTTTCAAAATATCGAAAGTGTTTTTGCTTTTGTTTTGTTTGACGATTGATGTATGATCATAATTTTGACTTTGTCGATGATCTATAATATTTATATCCTTATGACAAATAAAGATTTTTATTATTATTTTGTATTATTATATAAAATGCCTATTGTACTTAAACTCATGCTTTGTGTTTGCAATGGAAGAGGACACAGTTTGAGAAAGTTTGGTTATTTAATTTACGGAAGCCATAGTATAACACTTATAATACCATAGCCGTAATGTTCTACCACTACACCTAAACAATAAAAAAGTAAATTATCGAATATTTGCACAATATCAAAATATTATTTATAAATTGAAAACATAAACTTGACAATCCTACTTTGTCCGTTTTTATTGTGCATCACAGCTTTTGTTGCAGCTTGGTTCAAATTAGCTATGTTGTCATATAAAAATAAAATAATAGTGCTGCACCCTGTTGAAGAACCTTATAACTTTTAATAATATTGAATATCATAGAACAACTTGTGTAGTTGAAACAGCTGACATAATTCTTTAATCCCTTTTAAATGTGAATACTCAAAAGGTTAACATGGGAAACCCCAGAGCCACTGGGCTGGAGCCTGAAAGGATTCTTGAGATTAGAATATGTCTATATGTTAATCAGGAACGTGTGCTATCATCATACCAAATTACAGCCCGATCCGACCAGTAGTTAAAGCGTGATTGAACATCAAACAGACAAACAAATGAAAAAACAAACAAACACACAAAACTTCACATTTATAATATTAGTAAGATTAATCAGATATGACCTTTTTCAAAAGTGAAGAGATGAGTTCAGACATCAGAAAAGAGAATCTAATTTAAATCTTAATCACAAAAAAAAGTAATTGAGATAATCCCTGGTGTAATACTTCAAAGAATAGCTCTAAATGTTATTTTGTTTCTTTACCTTACACAAATTAAATTTATTAATTACATTTTGTTAAACTAAAATTTAAATTATAACAAAAACTTTTGTTCTAGGCTGAGACAGTTAAAAGAATTAAAACAGCAGATTATATTGATTTAAGAATTAATATTAAACAATAGAAGAATAAAGAAATACAAGAGAAAAAGGAAAATCGCCAAGTGTATTGAAAAATACCTAATATTATTCATATAAAGATTTGACTATGAGATGATTAAATGTTAAATGAGAGATGTATCCTATCATGTATCTGTTGTACATTTAATAAGTCCTACAAACTGGTACTATTCAAATGCATACAATTCCCTATGGTTTGTTGTGATTTCCGATAAGCGACTTCTTATGTGATGAAATTCACAGTGGGAAAAAGTGCTGAAGTAAAAATGTCAACTCACTCAAAAAACTTTCCTCTCAAATGTCCAATATGTGAGCAAAGTTGTCCATCTCAATCTGCAATGAAGGTCCATATATTATATCACACTGGAGAGCGTCCCTTTAAATGTTTGACATGTGAGAAAACATTTTTCCAACTAAACCAAGTAAAGAGTCATTTGTTGATACACTTTGGGAAGTCTCCTATATGTGGGGAATCCATTAAACTCCAAAGCCATATGAAGGAGCATACACAAATTCATACAAGACCCTATAAGTGCACTACATGTGGAAAATCCTTTACAACCATTGGTAGTATGACAAGACATACATTGGTCCATACAGGTGAGAGACCTTATAAGTGCACTACATGTGAAAAATCATTTACTTTCAAAAGTGATCTGAAGAAACACACATTTGTTCATACAGGGGAGAGACCTTATAAGTGCACTACGTGTGGAAAATCCTTTGCACGAATAGACAATATGAAGACACATATATTTGTCCATACAGGTGAGAGACCTTATAAGTGCACTACATGTGAAAAATCATTTACTTTCAAAAGTGATCTGAAGAAACATACATTTGTTCATACACGAGAGAGACCTTTTAAGTGTGCTACATGTGGAAAATCCTTTACAACCAAAGGCAATATGAAGACACATACATTGGTTCATACAGGAGAGAGACTTTACAAGTGCACTACATGTGAAAAATCATTTACTTCAAAGAAGTATCTGAAGTCACATACATTTGTTCATACAGGAGAGAGATCATATAAGTGCTCTACATGTGGAAAATCCTTTACTGCCACAAGTGATCTTAAGAAACATACATTTGTTCATACAGGTGAGAGACCTTATAAGTGCTCTACATGTGGAAAATCCTTTGCACGAATAGACAATATGAAGAAACATTCATTGGTTCACAGGAGAGAAACCTCAAGAGTGTACCACAATATGTAAAAAGTTGTTTGCATTCATAAGCTGCATGAAGAAGCTTTTTAAAAAGGTTCATATTGAAGTACTGACCCACCTCGTCAACCTGACTTAAATTTAAAATTGGAAAAAAATTCAAAAACAAAATTATCATCTATTCAAAGTTTTAAATCAATAAAAATATTTCATCAAAATATTCAACACCTGTCATCTAGAAAAGAGTTGTTGAAAATTGTAATGGAAGAGATGAAACCAAAGTTTTGACTGAGCATAATATGACTAAAGGTAATCTAGAAAGATTTAATTTAAGAGTATTGTTGTACCACCACTTCATGTGGAGGTGTAATGATATTTTCAGAGAAGGGGTTGAAAGCTAGGCCTTTAAATAAAAAAAAAGTTAGAAGAGCTTACGGAAGATAAAATTTTTGAATGTTGTGTAGCAAAGTGTGAAATAAATAAATTTAAGTTTGTTCTTGTAGGTATATACAGAAAGCCTCGGATGCAAAATATGGAGTTTTTTAATAGATTGGATATGCTGTTAGAAACTCTAGTTGCTTTAAAAGATGAGACAAATTTTATTATTAGTGGGGGATTTTAATACTGATGTTTAAAGTGTGAAAACAGAGGTCCAGTTTTTCAAAAATATTCTTGCTTATTATAGTTTTAGTTATTTAGTAGACTTCCCCACTAGAGTAGGGCATCAGCAACAGCGATAGACAATGTTCTTACCAATTTAGATCAATCTCTCACAGAAGTAACAGGGTCTATAACAAATCTTTCAGATCATGACAGTCAATTACTAACGCTTAATCTGCCAATAGATATGAATAGTTCAATAGGTGAAGATAATAATCAAATTTGCTATTGCATGCACCCCACGTTCTTCGTTTTAAATCTTACAAGTATTTTTGTTCTCTCCACATATTTATAAATTATTTTCTACATTTTAGTCTATTTAAAAATGTGGCATTTAAAAAAGTTTTTTTATTTATAAATTACTAGCACAATACCCGTCCTTAGTACGGGATTGGCGTATAAAATGCTTATTGACCTTATACTGTACTCATGCTTTGTGTTTGCAATGGAAGAGGACACGGTTTGAGAAAGTTTGGTTATTTTAATTTACGGAAGCTATAGTATAATACTTAGGCTATACCATAGCCATAATGTTCCACCACTACACTTTAACAATAAAATACCCCCGCCGCAGCAAACCTGCAGACTAAGCGAATTTCCATTTGCCTGATTGGATTTACACTTAAATGTCTCCTTAAAAATATCACACTTATTCCCTATTTAAATAGCATTAGTTTAACAAGTACTTATTTTTGCTGCAACAGGGAGGTCAAAACTGAGTTTTTTTGTAAAATGTTAATGGTTTAGTATTAAATGAATGCATTTTCCAAATTTAATCAAAATACGTCCATAAACAAGCAAACTACAACAGTTTACTTATTCATCATAAGAATAACATAGGAATTTTAAATTTACTGTTTTTTTAGAATTTTCTCCGTAGTAATTAGGCGCATAATAACGCTCCAATATACAAAATGGTTTGGAAAGAAATTGCTAAATTTTAAATTTTCAGGGTCAAAAATGGGAAAACCCAATTTTTACCCCATAAAACCCCCCATAAACCCCTGTTCCCATAGTCCGATCATGCTGGTTCGCGAACTCGTTTGAATAAATGTAGGTTTACACGTTTGTACCAAATTTCATCAAAATCGGATGATTTTTGCTCGAGTTATCGCGCTAACGGACACATATAGAGATATATATATAAATATATATATATATAGATATAAATATATATATAAATACATATATATGAATTTGATCGGATGGTGTTTTTGGTCTCTAGGGACCTCAAGACGAGAAAGTAAATTGGTCCCGGGGCCAGGTCTTACCATGAGTACTACGGTAATAGCTTATTAACTATATATTCATTCATTCATTCATTCATTCACCGATAGGGGAAATTCGCTAAAAGTTAATTATCGAATATTCGCACAGTATCAAAACATTTTGTATAAATTAAAAACATAAACTTGACTGTATGAGATAAGAATATGTCTATATGTTAATCAGGAACGTGTGCTATCATCATATCAAATTTCAGCCCGATCCGACCAGTAGTTAAAGCGTGATTGAACATCAAACAAACAAACAAATGAAAAAAACAAACACACAAACTTTCACATTTATAATATTAGCAAGATTAATCAGATATGATCTTTTTCAGAAGTGAAGAGATGAGTTCAGAACAGAAAAGAGAATCTAATTTTAATCTTATTAACAAAAAAAACTGATTGAGATAATACCTGGTGTTATACTTTGAAGAGCAGCTCTAAATGTTATTTTGTTTCCCTCACACAAATTAAATTTATTAATTCATTTTGTTAAACGAGAATTTAAATTATAACAAACATTTTTGTTGTAGGTTGAGACAGTTAAAAGAATTAAAACAGCAGATTATATTGATTTAAGAATTAATATAAAACAATAGAAGATTGAAGAAAGACAAGAGAAATGGGAAAATCCCCCAAGTGTATTGAAAAATACCTAATATTATTCATATCAAGATTTGACTACGAGATGATTAAATGTTAAATGAGGGATGTAGCCAGTTATCATGTATCTGTTGTACATTTAATAAGTCCTACAAACTGGTACTATATAAATTCATACAATTCCCTATGGTTTTTTGAGATTTATAATAAGGGACTGCTTATGTGATGGAATTCACAGTAGTAAAGAATGCTGGAGTAAAAATGTTAACTCACTCTAAAAACTTTCCTCTCAAATGTCCAATATGTGAGCAAAGTTGTCCATCTCAATCTGCAATGAAGGTCCATATATTATATCACACTGGAGAGCGTCCCTTTAAATGTTTGACATGTGAGAAAACATTTTTCCAACTAAACCAAGTAAAGAGTCATTTGTTGATACACTTTGGGAAGTCTCCTATATGTGGGGAATCCATTAAACTCCAAAGCCATATAGAGGAGCATACGCAAATTCATACGAGACGCTATAAGTGCACTACATGTGAAAAATCATTTACTTTCAAAAGTGATCTGAAGAGACATACATTTGTTCATACAGGAGAGAGACCTTATAAGTGCACTATATGTGAAAAATCCTTTGCAAGAATAGGCAATATGAAGACACACACAATGGTCCATACAGGTGAGAGACCTTATAAGTGCACTGCATGTGAAAAATTATTTACTTCCAGAAGTGATCTGAAGATACACACATTTGTTCATACAGGAGAGAGACCTTATAAGTGCCCTATATGTGGAAAATCCTTTACTTCCAATAGTCATATGAAGAAACATACATTTGTTCATACAGGGGAGAGACCTTATAAGTGCTCTATATGCGAAAAATCATTTACTTCCAAAAGTGTTTTGAAGAAACATACATTTGTTCATACAGGTGAGAGATCATATAAGTGCACTACATGTGGAAAATCCTTTGCACAAATAGGCAATATGAAGACACATACATTGGTTCATACAGGGGAGAGACCTTATAAGTGCTCTATATGTGGAAAATCCTATGCAAGAATAGGCAGTATGAAGAAACATACATTGGTTCATACAGGGGAGAGACCTTATAAGTGCTCTATATGTGAAAAATCCTTTGCTTCCAAAAGTGATCTGAAGTCACATACATTTGTTCATACAGGAGAGAGATCATATAAGTGCATTACATGTGAAAAATCATTTACTTTCAAAAGTGATCTTAAGAAACATACATTTGTTCATACAGGGGAGAGACCTTATAAGTGCTCTACATGTGGAAAATCCTTTGCACAAATGGGCAGTATGAAGAAACATACATTGGTTCATACAGGGGAGAGACCTTATAAGTGCTCTACATGTGGAAAATCCTTTGCACGAATGTGCACTATGAAGACACATACATTGGTTCATACAGGGGAGAGACCTTATAAGTGCTCTACATGTGGAAAATCCTTTGTACGAATAGACTATATGCAGAAACATACATTGGTTCATACAGGAGAGAGACCTTATAAGTGCTCTACATGTGGCAAATCCTTTGCACGAATAGACTATATGAAGACACATACATTGGTCCATACAAGGGGAGAGACCCTATAAGTGCTCTACATGTGGAAAATCCTTTGCAAGAATAGGCAGTATGAAGAGACATACATTGTTTCATACAGGAGAGAGACTTTACAAGTGTAAACTAGTGTAATATGTGTGAAAAATCTTTTACTTTCAAATGTGCCATGAAGAAACATACATTGGTTCACAGGAGAGAAACCTCAAGAGTGTACCACATTTAAAAAGTTGTTTGCATTCATAAGCTGCATGAAGAAGCTTTTTAAAAAGGTTATATTGAAGTACTGACCCACCTCATCAACCTGACTTAAATTTAAAATTGGCAAAAAATTCAAAAACAAAATTGTTATCCATTCAAAGTTTTAAATCAATTAAAATATTTCATCAAAATATTCAACACCTCTCATCTAGAAAAGAGTCTTTGGGAATTGGAATGGAGGAGATAAAACCAAATATTGTTATTTTGACTGAGCGTAATATGACTAAAGGTAATCTAGAAAGATATAATTTAAGAGTATTGTAGTACCACCACTTCAGGTGGAGGTGTGGTGATATTTTCAGAGAAGGGTTTGAAAGCTTGGCCTTTAAATAAAAAAAAAAATAGAAGAGCTTACGGATGATATAATTTTTGAATGTTGTGTAGCAAAGTGTGAAATAAATAAATTTAAGTTTGTTCTTGTAGGTATATACAGAAATCCTCGGATGCAAAATATGGAGTTTCTTAATAGATTGGATATGTTGTTAGAAACTCTCTAGTTGCTTTAAAGGATGAGACAAATTTTATTATTTGTGGGGGATTTTAATATTGATGTTTAAACTAGAGTAGGGCAACAGCGATAGACAATGTTCTTACCAATTTAGATCAATCTCTTACAGAAGTAACAGGGTCTATAACAAATCTTTCAGATCATGACAGTTAATTACTAATGCTTAATCTGCCAATAGATATGACTAGTTCAATAGGTGAAGATAATAATCAAATTTCCTTTTGCATGCACCCCACGTTCTTCATTTTAAATCTTACAATTATTTTTGTTCTCTCCACATATTTATAAATTATTTTCCACATTTTAGTCTATTTAATTATGCGGCATTTAAAAAGATTTTTTATTTATAAATTACTAGCAGAATACCCGTATTTCGTACAGGATTGGCATATTTAAGTCTATTTTAGTTATTAAGCCCTATTGTTTTTTCAAAATATTGAAAGTGTTTTGTTCGTGTCCTCTTCCATTGCAAACACAAAGCACGAGTATAAGTACAATAAGCATTTTATATAATAATAATAATAATAAAAATCTTTATTTGTCATAAGGATACATTAGATCATCGACAAATTCAAAATTATGATCATACATCAATCGTCAAATAAAACATAACATTTTATTGTTGGCTTATGTTTTGTTTGACAATTGATGTATGATCATAATTTTGACTTTGTCGATGATCTAATGTATCCTTATGACAAATAAAGATTTTTATTATTATTATTATTATATAAAATGCTTATTGTACTTATACTCGTGCTTTGTGTTTGCAATGGAAGAGGACATGGTTTGAGAAAGTTTGGTTATTTAATTTACGGAAGCCATAGTGTAACACTTATACCATAGCCATAATGTTCTACCACTACACCTAAACAATAAAAAAGTATATTATCGAATATTTGCACAGTATCAAAATATTATTTATAAATTGAAAACATAAACTTGACTGTAAACAATCCTACTTTGTCCGTTTTCATTGCGCATCACAGCTTTTGTTGCGGCTTGGTTCAAATTAGCTATGTTGTCATCTATCTATCTATACTATTATAAAAAAGAGGTGGATGCTGTATGTGTGTATGTGTGTATGGGAAAAGTAAACTCGAAAAATACTGGTCGGATTGGGCTGAAATTTGGCATGATGATAGCTCACATTCCCGATTAACATATAGGCATATTCTTATTTCAAAAATCCTTTCGGGCTCCGCCCCAGTGGCTCTGGAGTTTCCCATGTTAACCTTATGAGAAATGGAATTATTGAATCTTAACAGCTGTTTCAATTAAACAAGTTGGTTCTGTTCTATGATGTTCAATAGCATTAAAGTTACAAGGATTACCAACAGGGTGCAGCACTATTATTTCTTTTACATTTATGACAACAGCTAATTTGCAACCAAAAGGTGAGTGAGCGTAGCGAACGAACTTCAACCTGGAGGCGAGTTAGCGTAGCGAACGAGCTAACCTGAAGGCAAGTGAGCGCAGCGAACGAGCTCCAACCTAAAGGTGAGTGAGCGTAGCGAACGAGCTCCAACCTAAAGGTGAGTGAGCGTAGCGAACGAGCTCCAACCTAAAGGTGAGTGAGCGTAGCGAACAAACTTCAACCAGGACGTGATTGAGCCATGCGAACGAGATAATCTTGAAAATTAAGAAGTTAAACGGGGCAAAGCCCGCGGGTTACAGCTAGTATGAAAATAAAATAATAGTGCTGCACCCTGTTGATGAAGTTTATACTGTAACTTTTAATAATATTGAATATCATAGAACAACTTGTGTGGTTGAAACAGCTGACAAAATTCTTTAATCCCTTTTAAATATAAATACTAAAAAGGTTAACATGGGAAACCCCAGAGCCACTGGGCCGGAGCCCGGAAGAATTCTTTAGGTAAGAATATGTCCATATGTTAATCAGGAACGTGTGCTATCATACCAAATTTCAGCCAGATCGGACCAGTAGTTTTTCTGCTTAATTTTTAATATTTTAATTTCTGCGTGATTGAACATCAAACAGACAAACAAATGCCTAAACAAACAAACACACGAACCTTCACATTTATAATATTAGTAAGATTAATCAGATATGATCTTTTTCAAATGTGAAGGGATGAGTTCAGACATCAGAAAAGAGAATGTAATTTTAATCTTAATCACAAAAAAAATAACTAATTGAGATAATCCCTGGTGTAATACTTTAAAGAATAGCTCTAGAAGGTTATTTTGTTTCCCTTACACGAATTAAATGTATCAATTACATTTTGTTAAACTAAAATTTAAATTATAACAAAAACTTTTGTTCTAGGTTGAGACAGTTAAAAGAATTAAAACAGCAAATTATATTGATTTAAGAACTAATATAAAACAATAGAAGATTGAAGAAAGACAAGAGAATTGGGAAAATCCCCCAAGTTTATTGAAAAATACCTAATATTATTCATATCAAGATTTGACTGTGAGATGATTAAATGTTAAATGAGGGATGTAGCCAGTCCTATCATGTATCTGTTGTACATTTAATAAGTCCTACAAACTGGTACTATATAAATTCATACAATTCCCTATGGTTTGTTGTAAATTTTGATTAGGGACTGCTTATGTGATATTCACAGTGATAAAAAGTGTTAGAGTAAAAATGTTAACTGACTCTAAAAACTTTCCTCTCAAATGTCCAATATGTGAGCAAAGTTGTCCATCTCAATCTGCAATGAAGGTCCATATATTATATCACACCGGAGAGCGTCCCTTTAAATGTTTGACATGTGAGAAAACATTTTTCCAACTAAACCAAGTAAAGAGTCATTTGTTGATACACTTTGGGAAGTCTCCTATATGTGGGGAATCCATTCAACTCCAAAGCCATATGAAGGAGCATTCACAAATTCATACGAGACGCTATAAGTGCACTACATGTGGAAAATCCTTTTTCAACAATTGGTAGTATGAAAAGACATACATTGGTCCATACAGGTGAGAGACCTTATAAGTGCACTACATGTGAAAAATCATTTACTTTCAAAAGTGTTCTGAAGAAACACACATTTGTTCATACAGGGGAGAGACCTTATAAGTGCACTACGTGTGGAAAATCCTTTGCACGAATAGACAATATGAAGACACATATATTTGTCCATACAGGTGAGAGACATTATAAGTGCACTACATGTGAAATATCATTTACTTCCATAAGTGCTCTGAAGAAACATACATTTGTTCATACACGAGAGAGACCTTTTAAGTGTGCTACATGTGGAAAATCCTTTACAACCAAAGGCAGTATGAAGACACATACATTGGCTCATACAGGAGAGAGACTTTACAAGTGCACTACATGTGAAAAATCATTTACTTCAAAGAAGTATCTGAAGTCACATACATTTGTTCATACAGGAGAGAGATCATATAAGTGCTCTACATGTGGAAAATCCTTTGCAAGAGTAGACAATATGAAGACACACACATTGGTTCATACAAAGGAGAGACCTTATAAGTGTACTACATGTGGAAAATCCTTTGCAAGAATAGGCAGTATGAAGAAACATACAATGGTTCATACTGGAGAGAGACTTTACAAATGTAAATAAGTGTAATATGTGTGAAAAATCTTTTAGCCTACTTTCAAATATGTCATGAAGAAACATACATTGGTTCACAGGAGAGAAACCTCAAAGTGTACCACATGTAAAAAGTTGTTTGCATTCATAAGCTGTATGAAGAAGTTTTTTAAAAAGGTTTATATTGAACTACTGACTTACCTCGTCAACCTGACTTAGGCTAAATTTAAAATTGACAAAAAATTCAAAAACAAAATTATCATCTTTTTAAAGTTTTAAATCAATTAAAATACATCATCAAAATATACATCACCTGTCATCTAGAAAAGAGTCTTTGGAAATTGTAATGGAGGAGATAAAACCAAATATTGTTGTTTTGACTGAGCATAATATGACTAAAGGTAATCTAGAAAGATTTAATTTAAGAGTATTGTTGTACCGCCACTTCAGGTAAGGTGTGGTGTTATTTTCAGAGAAGGGTTTGAAAGCTAGGCCTTTAAATAAAAAAAAGTTGGAAAAGCTTACGGAAGAAAAAATTTTTGTATGTTGTGTAGCAATGTGTAAATTAATAAATTTAAGTTTGTTCTTGTACGTATATACGGAAAGCCTCGGATGTAAAATATTAAATTTTATAGGCTGTTAGAAACCCTAGTTGCTTTAAAGGATGAGACAAATTTTATTATTAGTGGGGAATTTTAATATTGACTTTTAATGTCTAAAAACAGAGGTCCAGGATTTTAAAAATATTCTTGCTTATTATATAGTTTTAGTTATTTTGTAGACTTCCCGACTGTAGTAGGGCAACAGCGATAGACAATGTTCTTACCAATTAAGATCAATCTCTCACAGAAGTAACAGGGTCTATAACAAATCTTTCAGATCATAACGCTTAAACTGCCGACTGATCATTCACAAAATAAATTTTAATACATTGATAGTATGGATTTTTCAGAAAGAAACATGAATATTTTTCTCAGACAACTCCAATATGAAGACTGGTTACCTTTATACATGGCTAGGGTAGAGGATAAGTTTAACACTTTTAAAAACACATTTCAATACTATTTTAATTTTAGTATTTCCTTAAAAGAGAGTAAAAAGGAATTTAAAATTAAATATAAATAATTGTGACTGAATTGGTGCAGATTTAGTAACTGAACAATAAATATAAAAATGTGGAGTTGACTAAAGAAGCTAAGATTACAGGTAATATGGAGCTCTTAGATCACTGTAAAAATTTAATAAAGATTATAAAAACAAGCTATTAAGGGAAAAAAAAAATTCAGACAACGTATAAAAAGAAACTTGGGAAATAATCAATATAGGCACACAGGTAAAAATTCAGACAGTCTAAAGAAAATAATGTCTAAAATTAAGCATGAAAATTTGGCAATGAGCGACCCATAAACTATATCAAATACTTTTAATATATTTTTTTATTAAAGCTATAGTGGAATTAGTACAAAAAACATCGTTCAACTCTTGTTCTCAGTCATCACTTGGGCAAGCACAAATACCTGATGCTCTCCAAAATGAAATTAAAATATAGATTTCAATGCTACCCAGTCAATGAGAAAGGGATAAAACACATCATCTTGTCCCTTAAAAATAAACTTTCTAGTGGTCATGATGAGGTTCCCTTGAAACAAATCAAGCATGTAGGGGATTCATTATTAAAACCCTTAGTGTATTTAATTAATTAGCTTCTTTATAACTGGAATTCTTCCTGAAAATTAACGATTTCCAAGGTTGAACCAATTTACAAAATAAAAGCCACAGCAAACCTGCAGACTAAGCAAAATTCCATTTACCTGGCTGGATTTCTACTAAAATATTCCCTTAAAATTGTTAATTTATTTCCTATTTAAATAACATTAAATTTAATGAGTAACTAGGTTTGTTGCTACAGGGAAGTTATTGAGTTGTGTTTTTGATTGAAATATTAATAGCTTAGGATGAAATAAACAAAATTGCCAAAATTGATTCAATGTATACCCATAAACAAGCAAACTATAACAGTTTATTTATTCTCCATAAGTATAACATGGGAATTTAAAATTTAAAGATTTTTATAATCACCTCTGTAACGGTTAGGCATACAACAACGCTTCAATATACAAAATTATTTCTTTTTTTAAGCTCTACAAAATGGTCTGAAAAGAAATTGTTAAATTTTATGATTTTAGAGTCAAAAAAGGGGAAAACCAATTTTTACCCCATAAAACCCCCCACAAAACCCTGTTCACTTCAAGTTATCACGCTAAAGGACACATAAGGTATATATAAATATATAATACTAGTGGCTTGTAGAGCCAATAGCCCCTATTTATATATTCTAGTTATTATTTTGTACAATTTATTAGTCTAATGGGTTACCCTACCTTGAATTACCGTTTAAACCATTTTTGTATATTACAATATCTATAACAGTTATTACATACCTGTATAATGCATTTTGATGTCTGCAATTCACCCAAATAAAACACAGAGATAATGTTATGCTCCAAATTGTAAAATCCTAATTCTATAACAAAATCTCTTTGAAAACAACATTTTGTTGTATAGTATCCATTTAGGTTATTTTGGTTTGAATTATTTTAGTTTATTTTGACATAGCTAACACTAATTGTATTTGGTTGATTTGGCTGAATAAATGAGTTATGACTTAGGTCGATTCCTTGATCTTTATTTGGTTCTAGTATTATTTTAACATCATCTGGTCGCTTTACGCGGTTAAAAGCAACATAAAGTTGACCATGGGTAAACACTTCAAATAAATGCCAACTTGTGAAGGTTTGGCCTTGCGCTGTAATAATAAGTAATAGTGAAAGCTAATCGAAGTAGGATTGAATAGTATCTGTAGATGTTAGTTTTATTTTTGGCATGAAAAATATGTTCCCTTTGCCTACTCCAGTAATTAGTTCTAACTTTACACTTTCTTCAGACATACCTAACACAACCAATCGTACTCTATTAACTAATCCAGACCCTTAAATTGGGAAATACTCTATTTCAGCTTTATAATAGTATACATATTGCATGCTTTTAAATAAAGATAAACCACATGTTTTAAAGTAAACAAAGCAGAAATTAACTGGATTCCTATGCTTTTTAAATGTGAATTATTTTATTCCGTAATAACATTTTGGTGCATTATTAAGAAAAATGAATAATTTTCCCCAAAACTTCATGCCCAGACCTTTAAAATGAGACCCCTCCCAGATTTCTACGGCCTCCCGTTCGCTCACAATTTCATTGTAAAATTTTGGTCTTACGGAATTAGATATATAGATATATATACTGTATGAATTTGAACGGAGGGTGTTTTTAGCCTCTGGGGACCTCAAAACCAAAAAGTAAATCGGTCCCGGGCCTGGGTCCAGGTCTTACCATGAGTAACAATAAATATTGATTGGCCTATTTAAATCCAATTCAATATACTGTAGGCATAGGCTATCGATTACAAAATATTGTTTAACATAGGCCTAGTTTTTTGGGCTGCACTTTTTTTGGGGTTAGGTTTACCTAACCTAACTAACCGAATTAAATAATAGAATAATCGATATATCAATCGATATATTCATTTGGATGATTGTAGGACAGATACTAAAGTAGACCTACCCTATTAATGAACTGTAACAAAACAAATTATTAAAAATAGGCCTAAGGATAAAAATAAACGGCTTTGTTATTGTAAAATTTATTTAAATATCATATGGTATGATTGTACTGGGTAGGCTTTCATAAATGGGACCAAAAACAACCGAAAGAATATAGGGTATCGATTTAAATATCGATTATTTCATTCGATACATCAAGTTTTTTTAGTTAGGTCACCTAACCTAACTAACCAAATGAAATAATCAATATATCGAATAATCGATAGGTACGATATTTTCATTTGGTTGTTTTTGGCCCCACTTATGAAAGTCTATAATATTAATAATATAATTATATCTACAATATAATTAACATAATATAATAATATCTACAATATTAATATCGAACCAATTATCGTTATTTACCCAATAAAATCGTTGGTTCTCTGTGTAACTGTACCCTGCAAGTAAAAAAAGGAATAATGGTAAGATGTAAGTTAGTGATAGATACCCTATTAGAAATTTGTAGGTAAGATGTTCGTGTCACCCTATACATTTTGCCATGTTACATCTTCAGGAGTCTTCTTGTGAATTTATCACAAACAACAAATTTAGCACAAACACTATAACTGCACAAAGTCTTCGTGCGCCGGCGTTGCCGTGGGGCTCATGATGACAATAGACGGCATTAAAACGATCTGAAATACAAAACTGCTCTGATCACTGAAAACTTAACGAGGGTAGTTATTATTGTGTGTGCTACCTGTTTAC